TCCTTATTCACTTACATACTCTATGTATCTCCTCTTCTAACAGGAATCACATCAACAAAAAGAGCGAGCAGCAGGGAAAGGTTGCCACAGTTTATGGCAATCTGGTAAGAGCAATGGCCAAGGGGGGCAACCTTGTCCAGGCGGTCACAGCAATGAAGGTTAGTCGAACCAGACTGCAAATGTGGTATCCATTGTGCTCTGGGTCTGATTTCGTTTCTCACTGGCCACATATGCCAAGGTGCAACATCTGACTTCCCTTTGCCTGGGAATACCGGATATCCAAATCCTAGTTTACCTTCTGCACCCCCCCCCCCCCCGCCACTCTAACCGCCTCCATTTTCTTCCCGCAGCAAATATCCGGTGTCTTTGACGAATACCTAAGAGACTACGGCCAGAAGGAACCGCACGATTTCTTGGGCGTCACACTGGGCTGGTTGCATTCGGACCTCGCGAGGGTGAGTGGCGTCAAGGGCGGTTGGGGCGCGGGCTGTCTCTTAGGGGCTTGCGTTCATTCACCGCCTTCTTTTCTCTCTCCCCATAGGCGGGGTGTGGGGGGGGGGGGGGGGCACTATTCTTGTCTGTCCAGTGTTTCCCTTGCAGAGTGGGATACATCCTAGTGGCACCGAGATGAAGATCCTGCTGTGTTGGTTTCTCGCCCCAGCTAGATGGGGATAGATGATGCCCAAACAAAAACTTGATTGTCTAAACGGTGTCTGTTGTATCTTTACTTCCAAGGAGGTTATGTTCCTGGTAGCGTTTGTTCATTGGTTAGCAGGATAACTCAAGAAGTTATGAACAGATCTTAATTCTTACCAGAGATGTGCCTTAGTCCAACTTAGCTGCCAGTAAATTTTGGTGGTGATCCGGATCACGATCTGGATCCTGCACAGAAAAACTAAAAAAGTTAATAACGGATTTTTACGAAAATTTTACCGGAGGTTTATCTTTGCCAAACCTGGATGTCTTTAAACTTTGTTGGTGATCCAGATTATGATTCGGAAAGGATGCATTAGCATTGCGAGATAGGGAAACGCGAACGTCACCAGTGCACTTGAGAAAGAGGGTTTCTTAATGTAATTCTTCAAGTGTGAATATCTTTCTTGCACCAGTGATCTCTTATTCCATATTTAGATCGTTACCCTGCAGAATTAGGTAAAATATGTTACAACCATCATATTAGACGAACGTTCATCTTATCAACGAATGCCAGCGCACCCACTCGACGTCCTGGAAACACGGAGCTCATTCTGGGCCACTTACGCCCTGCTGGACAAAGTGAGAGCCCGAGAACGATCCCGAAACCCCAGCCACATATATTCAGCCCAGTTTCTGCTACAGTATTTGCTTCCTCCCAACTTTAGGTTTTATGAAATCCATGACCACGTCTCTCGGACACTATTGGCTGCACTAATAGCGTTATATGTTGCTGGAAAGTTCATCACCGGATTTCCTATTTCTGTTGAAATATGGAGTATCGGGAAACTTGCATTGTAAAAAAAAATCGTAAAAGAGGAGGAATGACTGCAAAGTTTAATGCCCTCTTTCTCGATATTTTCATTCGGTATGCGATGATGCTCCATGCCCGATGCGGAATTCATTCAGAATGTTATTGTAGGCACTTTGGTCTTTTCTGGGACGGTGCATAGTGTGAGCATATATATGTATATGTATTTACACATACACGGATACATTTAGTGCATTATGCAGTAGCTCATTAACACTCATCAACAGATAACTTTTTATCTGTTGATAAAACGATTTCTCTGAGTTGTGTCAAAGAGAATTTCCGAAACTTTTATGATACTACTTGACAATGGTGGCGATAACAGCTATTAGAAGACCCATTTCTTAATGGCTGAGATTACAGGGTAGAATTTAGATATATTTGTATAGTATTTCCTTGTTCCCTTACTGTTCTGTCATCTGGGAACTGCTCGGCCTCTCTCTTCTCGCCAATTTCTTTCTTTATTCTTACTGATCCTATTCTTTCCTTTCCCCATTTCTCTGCTTCTCTAATCCCTTCTTTCACAAAGGTTGTCGTCCTTTTCCTTGTCCATATGGCCACTTTATCTTTAATGTAACCGTGTCTAACTTCTGAATTATTTTACTTTTATTTTTCTCTTATTCTCCTCGTGCTCCCATTTCCCTGCACCGTAACTTCAGTATTCTCTCCTCTTCCTTCTTTTACTTCTCTTCGCTACCCACACTTTTACTGTGCCTATCTCCCTCGCCTCAAAAAATCACCCACACCTCTGATATCTTTTCTTTATTCCTTCCTTCTTCTCCTCTCTTTTTGTCCCTCTTTTCTTACTCACACCTTTATCGTGGCCTATCCTCTTCACCTCCAGAAATTCTTAGGTTACACCTTAGATCACGTTACGTCTTCGCGTCTTTTTTTTCCCTATTTTCTACCCACACCTTTACCCTATCCTTCGTGTCTTCCTCCCTCCCTTCCTTCCCCCCCCCTCTTTTCCCCCATTTTCCTGCCCACACCTTCACCACCCCTATCCGTCTTCGTGTCTTCCTCCCTCCTTTCCTTCCTCTCCCCCCTCTCTTTTTCCTATTTTCCTACCCACACCTTCACCACCCCTATCCGTCTTCGTGTCTTCCTCCCTCCCTCCCTTCCCCTCCCCCTCTTTTCCCCCATTTTCCTGCCCACACCTTCACCACCCCTATCCGTCTTCGTGTCTTCCTCCCCTCCCTTCCTCCCCCCCCCTCTTTTTCCATTTTCCTACCCACACCTTCACCACCCCTATCCGTCTTCGTGTCTTCCCTCCCTTCCTTCCCCCCCCCTCTTTTCCCCCATTTTCCTGCCCACACCTTCACCCCCTATCCGTCTTCGTGTCTTCCTCCCTCCCTTCCTCCCCCCCCCCCCCTCTTTTCCTATTTTCCTACCCACACCTTCACCACCCCTATCCGTCTTCGTGTCTTCCTCCCTCCCTTCCTTCCCCTCCCCCCTCTTTTCCCCATTTTCCTGCCCACACCTTCACCACCCCTATCCGTCTTCGTGTCTTCCTCCCTCCTTTCCTTCCTCTCCCCCCTCTCTTTTTCCTATTTTCCTACCCACACCTTCACCACCCCTATCCGTCTTCGTGTCTTCCTCCCTCCCCCTTCCCTCCCCCTCTTTTCCCCCATTTTCCTGCCCACACCTTCACCACCCCTATCCGTCTTCGTGTCTTCCTCCCTCCTTCCTTCCCCCCCCCCTCTTTTCCCCATTTTCCTGCCCACACCTTCACCACCCCTATCCGTCTTCGTGTCTTCCTCCCCCTTCCTTCCCCTCCCCCTCTTTTCCCCCATTTTCCTGCCCACACCTTCACCGCACCTGTCCCCCACCGGCAGCCGTCCAGCGACCCCGAGCGGCCCTCAGACAACTCCGTCATCTCGGACCACTTCCACGTCCAGCACCTCCACGTCATCAGCTGCGAGAGGCACCGGCGGCCGATCTCCGTGAAGGCCGTGTCCCACTCCAACCTCACTCTCGCTGTGTGCTCCAGCAAGGGCGTCGACCTGGAGGTAAGGAAGGCCGTGCTGGGAGGACGACGAGGCACCTCTTGCACTAAATGTTGCTAGTTCACAGCTGTTTCTCTTCTGGCCATTGTCCGTGTCTGCTTTAAAGAAGGACGCAGGAACATCAATATTTTGCTCTCATGTTGAAAAGATCAATCCTTAATCCTTATTTCACTTATTAATCTGCTCATCTCTGTTCTTTTTTATGGTACTGGCCGTCCCTGCCTTTAAGATCACAAAGCAATACAAATATTTTGCCTAATTACACATTGAAGAATTTCTCCATTATTATCGTTCAGAATCAATATTTTACAATATATATTTTTAACCCTCATTAATGTTTAAACTTTTATGCAGAGTCCTATGTAGTATATTTTCCTACATATTTTTTTTTTAATACACCTACGATGGGCAAATTTCTTAAGAATGTTTTCATCCGCCAAAATATGTAGCGCACATCTGCAAGGTCACCATTGCATTCAGCTTCGTATATATGTCTGTGAAGGGAGAGAAAATGAGGCCGTTTTCATGGCGCCTGCTCGGCTCTTGCCCCGTCAGCGGAAAGCAACGATTCTGACGGTTTCTGCAAGACTAGCAAAGGAACTGGAAAGGGAACTGTGGACGCTTCCTCGTCGGCGAAGCATCTGCATGGTGGCCCAGTGAGTCCTGCAGGCTCCATGGACGGCCATAGTTTGGGTCAATCCCGTGCGAATAAATGCGAATCATCCTGTTAATATCCGGGTATGAATCAAAACAAAACCGGAAATGTATGCGATTCCCATTAGTTGACTGAGGATGAGGGTGGCCGTTCCTAATAGACAAATAGAGTAAATGCTCATATGCTATATATATATATATAATATATATATATATATATATATATATATATATATATATATATATATATATATATATATATATATATATATATATATATATATGTATGTATGTATGTATATACACATAATCACATACACACACACATATATAAGACACACAGGATGTCGCATATCTACATTAGCTGTCAACAGAAGCTCAAGAATGTTCCAGAACTTTAGAGGGACTTTGGGACATTATAGAATGCTCAGACAGGAAGTCTTTCTATTCGTGGACACAACAATTTAGCAACTGACCAGTATGGATTACAGGAGGGAAAGATATCTGTGAAAGACAACAATAAAAGATGATAAGGTGATGCCATCAGTGTCAGTGAATTATGTCCCGCCAAGGTCTTAATGGCAAAAGAGTATTGTGTCATTTGGGAGAAATTGCTGACAATTAAAACAAACAGGAAAAAAAAAAAAAATTTTACAACAACAACAAAAACGGAATTGCATGTTTTTTTTTCTTCACCTTTATCAATATTTTACATATACTGCTAGACTTTGTATTCATATACAGTCTATAACCTTTACTCTCTCCATTTCAACCCTTATTCAGACACTCCTGTCGAATTACTACAAAGCTCAGCACATAGACTGGGACTGCGACCTGTGCGGGTCGAACCACAGATGCCTTCAAGTAACGAAAATTCTCCGTCTGCCGCCTTTCCTTATCATTCATCTCAGCAGGTGAGAGAGTTGGGGAAGGAGAAGAGGGGGAGGCTAGGGAGGGAGGCAAAAGGAGGGAATCCGTCTCCCCTTCCTGCTTTCTCCTTCGTCACGAGGGGAGGGGAGGGTGGCAGGAAGCGCCCATTCTCCCCCTCCCACCTTGTCTCACAGTTTAGAGGGACGTGAAGGGGGACGTTGAGACAAGACGATGACTGGGGGAAGATGCAAGGGGAAAAGTGGGAGAGACGGAAAGAAGAAATAGATAGGACCTGTGGGGAGGAAGGATAGGGTGAAGGGAGAACAGGAAAGATAAGGATAGATAGATAGAGAAAGTTTGTGTGTGTGTGTGTGTGTGTGTGTGTGTGTGTGTGCGTTGTGTGAGAGAGAGAGAGAGAGAGAGTGAGAATTGTAGGAGATATGGTGAGCAAAGAAATCATTTTAAACATAGATTACCTATATACTAATCTCCAAACACCTGTTCTCAACTTCAGGTACAACGAAGAAAATCCTCACGCTCCCAAAGTAGCAGTGAATTTTCCGAAGACTCTTGACTGCATGAAGAACTTCTGTAGCTATAACAAGTGAGTTTTTGCTCTGTCTATTAAGGTCTTTTCCCTTCTGTTACTGAACAGAAAGCAAACAATAATGGCAAAGATAATATGGACAACAATGACAAAACAGCCAACTCATTTTCAACCGCATCAAAACACATTTAAACGAATTGAATTATACATCAATCTAATCAATCCTCTTTTTTATTTTCCAATTACAGCGATAGGAAATACAGCATCTATGGTATATGTGCCCACGAAGGAACCATGAACTTTGGCCACTGTGTCTCAGTCTGTAGACAAAGTGCACAAGGACAAGCCAGTGAAGAAGGCCGTGCAAGACAGTGGCACTTGTGCAACGATGAAAACATTTTTCCCAAAGTGGATCATAGTGTTATAAGGAATGAAAATGCTCACATTCTCTTCTACGAGGCCGTGTAAAAATCTGTTGTTTCAACTTTACATGTACTTATGTTTTATTTGATTATTATTATCATTATTATTATTATTTTCATTATTATTATTATTACTATTATTATTATTATCGTTATTATTTATCATTTCATTTATTATTATTATATTATTATTATTATTATTTATTATTATTTATTATTATTATTATTACTATTATTACTATTATAATCATTATCGTTATTATTATCATTATTATAAGATATTTAATGTTTCAATCATCTTATTCCTCTTCTTTGCTTTCCCTCCGCTGTATGTAACCAAGATTTCATTTTTTTATTCGGTGCAATTTTGCTTTTCTTTCTGTATTTCGCTTCTATTTTCTCTCTTGCTATTTCTCTCCATTCTTGTCGTATGATAATTCATATTCCTTGCATATCACCCGGCCGCATCTTCCTCTTTTGGGCGTTTAAGAGGCACAAGGAGAAGCCAGTTTTAAGCAGAGGTTCATTAAGGCCGAGAATGTCCAGCGCCCAGCCCCGGATTGGCCCCTACGACCAAACCCAAGAAGGAAGGAACCTCGCGAGGTCCTACAGAACCCACGGCGTGGCTGTTTAGGTGTAATCCACATTCATCCCTAAAATTAAAGGGGTGGTCTTACAGGGTCGCGGGACTCCTTAAACCCCAAAATTCAAGGTTACCCTGTATCTCCTTCCGTCTTCTTAGACATGGAGGGATGCCTC